AGTAATTGAAACATTTATATAATAGAGGTTGGACAAAATTATGGAAACATTTCTATACTAATTTTATGTAAACAATATTTTTTTTGACAGCAAAAGGTTTGGAAAAATTTACAAGGCAAAACTGTTGGCACAATTTTTACGATCATGCTTAAAGCTTTTAAAAATGATGTCTTTTTTACCCATTCAAAATTCGCATCAACAATACCGAGCAGAGGAAGTTAAATGCTTTTCTTTTTCAATACCATTATAATTCCAAAAAAAATCTTATATAAATATTAGCTGAATACCCTTTCTTCACACTGGGTGAATAAAAAAAAGAAAAGAAAAAAGAATCAATAAATCAAAACTGAGCAACACTACGAAATCTTACTCAAAACTGAGAGGTATATGCCTACACAATTGAAGAGCTTAGTGCAAGAACCTTTGGAAGTCATCTTTATAGCCAGAAAATACTTACAAAATTAAATATACTTACATAATTGAAAGGTACCAACACAATTGAAGAGCTTAGTGTAAGAACCTTTGGAAGCCATCTTTATAGTCGGAATATACTTACAAAATTAAATATACTTACACAATTGAAAGGTACCTACACAATTGAAGAGCTTAGTGTAAGAACCTTTGGAAGCCATCTTTATAGTCAGAATATACTTACAAAATTAAATATACTTACATAATTGAAAGGTACCAACACAATTGAAGAGCTTAGTGTAAGAACCTTTGGAGGTCACCTTTATAATCAGACAGTTCACGATTTTAAATTGACTGCACTTTGTTGGCCATGGATAAGTAGTTTAAAAACTTTATAGCGCAGTTCCCAGTAGAACACCGAAATCAAGTGTCACTAGCTGCAGCCAGTAAGCAGGGGGGTGACAAATTTGATCACTCTGTTTAGAGACACAGGGTGCGCGGTATTGGTCCTCGTTAAAATGTTTTATCTCAAAGTGCCTGACTTCGCATGCAGGTCGTCGGGCTACCAAAGCAGGAGAGCCATCCCCTCTGCAGAGGATCAAAATTGCGACGACATGTCTTCGGGTCATCCTCAGGGACGTTTCCCAGACCATCGCCAATAGCCCATTGTGCAGCTCTGGTGCAACGTAAATCAAGTACCTACCTATTTTTAAGCTAATACAGCTAATATAGGGATAAAAGCTAAATACAGTAAAAGAAAAAGACCAATGGCAACAAAATATAAGAAATTTTTTTTATTAAGAACACACAGATAACCTTAATTAGATTTACAATATCTAACTAGTAAATAGGACACTGTTTCTTCTATTGTTACATTTCAATAAATATCTTAATATTTAGTCATAACAATAACAACCAGACCCATATTGCAAGAATAACAAATATCATTTCTAAGTATAAAATAATATTTATATACAAGTTTTTGCTTGTTTGGAAAACATTTGCTATAAAATACAATATGAATATAAATAAAAAATGAAGAGAATTTATTTTACAAAAATCCAAGCCATACTCTTAAATAAAAATGCTACTTTTAACATTTATTTAAAAAGTAATAAAAGTTTAAAATCACCATAGCTATATTTTAAAATGAATCCATGAGCAAATAAAGATGGTTCCAGCTGAGCCCCATATAAATATATCATCATCTTTAACATACAATTTTATGATACTTGTCAAAAATAAAACATTACAAACATTTGAAGGATCAATATTGAAAAGAAAACAGGATAAAAGTATCAAAACCTGTTTGATTGAACTAAACAAGTTTGCTTCGATATGGTTAATCCCACCTTCCTTACTAGATATTTTCTGACATTATAGTGCCCCCCCTCAAAATAAATAAAAATCAGGATATTTTTTTTAAGAATCCTAGACATTATTTTGAACAGCTTTTAAAATGGGCAAATAACAAATTAGAAGGAATTATTGTTTGATCTACTTAGAAAAAGGCAAATTTTATCAAAATAAATTTTAACATTTTTTATTATCTTTTTAAAATTACTTTTGTTAAAACAGAAAATTTAACAGTTAATTGCATAATTTCATTAATGGAATATTTAACATAATTACATATAGAAAATTAAAATCAATATATAGTAAAAAAAGTTTGAAAATAGTCAAATATTGCAAGAAATATATACATCAGATTAAAAAGTGAAACTAGACACCTTCAATATTTTGTAAAAGCTATCCAATGAAATACAATACCTCAATCCCCCCTCCCAAAAGGGTGGGCCTGGGGTAACTTTGAAATCTTAAATATAAACCTCGATTTTTATTGCAGATTCGGATCCTCCAGAAAAAGTAACCCTATTTGTATTTGTAGGTTTATGAACTTTGCTTCACAGATGGCACAGCAACCGAAAAAAATGAAAAGGGTACAAACTGTTTAAAATGGTGGTAATTGAATGAAAGGTGTTTGAAATAGCGAATATTGAGACCCATCAGATTAATAAAATAAAAATAAACACATTAGAAAATTTTTTATTAGTATTTTTTTTAAATTATTATTTTCAATTTGATGGGTCTCGAGTTACCACCATTTTAAACAATTTGTACCCTTTTTAATTTTTTCGGTTGCTGTGCCATCTGTGAAGCAAAAGGCATAAACCTAAAACTTAAACAGGGTTACTTTTTTCTGGAAGATCCGAATCTGCAATAGAAAAATGGGAGTTCATACTTAACATTTGAAATTTGACCCAATTGGTCCCTAGAGGGGTAAGGGTGAAAGATCAAGTTTGATCTCATTGAATAGCTTTCAAAAAAATATTGTATGTGACTATTAACACCTTTTTGATCCCATGCATGTTTCTCAAAATATTTGACTGTTTCTAAAAAAAATTTATGCCCAATATTAAAAACTTTAATCATACTGTTTCATAAAAAAATTTATAGATAAATAACAAAATAAAACTAGAATCAATTAGCTAATAAATCCTCATACCAATATTTAATTAAAATTTAAAAATGATTTCAAGATTTCTTTAATCAAATAATTTTAATAATCTCAATAATCTTGAAAATGGAACCACGGTGAATGTGCTTCTTAATGTTTTGGTGTAAAATGAATTTCTTGGGTAATTCATCAGTTTGCATTTTAAAAATTATATGATATGATTCCTGTAATGTTGATTGAAATCTTTCATTTTCAAAACTTGATGAATTTACAATTGTGAAACTTTCACCCTACAAGATTCCTAACTGCATTTGCTGAAAATAATAAGTAAGTGCATTATCTCTGATTTCATCGCCACAAAAACTGGATTAAGTAAAATTATTAATAGGGTTTATTTAGCAATTTTTACTATCATTATTAATTAAAGCAAAAAAAAGTTGTATCAAAAAATTCACATATTATAATTCTACAAATAGATTACTTTCAAAACCCGTTTTCGTATTCATAGACAACAAATTGTTCTGAATGCAGACAAAAATCAATAGTATCAAGATAAAAATCTAATAATAAATATTACGATAATGATAAATATGAATATGATAAATAAGAGTAAAATATTTTTTATCGGAAAAATCAGAAGAACCAGAACTTCTGTTGGATAGATTTTAATATAAATTTTGTTTCTTTTTTTTCCTCAGCTGAACATTAGCAGCCCCTAATGTATAAGCTTTTTTATTTTTTGACAAGTATTCTAAATATATATGTTAAGAGCAATAATTATAGAAAATTCTATCTATACATATTAAGTTTTGTCAATAAGAAACATTCATACTTCAACATTTTTACCTGAACCTGCATAGTTAATATTCTTGATCAATCAAATAATTCTCACTAAATTGAATTCAATCAATGAATTCTAATTACCCTACTACTCCAGTTCAGCGGTTTCCAAATTTTTTTTTTTTTACGCAAGGGGACCTTAAATTATCTAACTTCTCTTAGCGAAACCTCCATTTCATAAATAAAGTCAATTTGAATCTGTGAAAGTACTAAGTGAAGAAAGAAATACATTTAATGTGAATGAAGGTTTTTTCTTTGGTAATCAATTAAAATTTTAAAATTACGTTTCACATCAAGCAGTTGAAATTACAGGTCTGAAACGGCTTCTAGTCTAAATCTAAATTTGTCTTTGAAGTTAAAATAAGCTGAATTATAGGTTTCTGTTTTTTTTTTTAATTTTTTTTAATGGTTAAAAACGTTGATAACGGTTATTAGAAAAGAATTTTTATTCTTGAATTTGTTTGTTTTATTCTGAATTAAAAATTTTGACGAGAAATTATTGAGCATTTTTTTTATAATCGCATATCCATTTCATAATTTATTCAATGTATTGTTTGAAATTTTTTTTTTAAATCTTGGCATTTCTTTTTTTCATTGGCATTTTACTCAGATTATTTCATAAAAATATTCGAAATACAGTATAACCTCGATATCTAAAAAAAATTTAGAGATAGCGAGTTTTTGAGACAACAAGTTAAGAACTATAATTATACTAATTAATAATTATATATATTAATTAATATATAATTATATATTAATTATATATAATAATTAATATATAATAATATAATTATATATTAATATATATACTAATTATGTCCTAAAAAGTAGCAAAATATATTCTAAAATATCTCTCTAAAAAGTAGAGACATAAAACATAAAAGTAACTACTAATAAATATGTAAGTAATGATAGTTAACTATAAGTCGAAATACAACAGTAATAATTTTATTTTTAGAAGTAAGACAAAAATAATTATGCACTAAATATAAAAGAATTAGTGCACAATAATTTTAAATTATGATTTTTCCAAAAAAAATTCAATTTCCATTTCGAAAAAAAATTTGACATAACAAGATTTTGAGAAGAAACCCTTCGACATAGGAGCTCAAATTAACATTAAGTGGATATACAAATGCTAAAGGGAAAAATATTTTTTTGACATAACAAGGTTTTCGTGACATCGATGTTCGAGATATCGAGAGTATACTCAGGGATGAGAGTAGTCAGAAAGTAAAAAAGAGGAAATCCAAAAAACAAAAAAAAAAAGAAAAGAAGAAAAANTGGAGTGGCAACCTAGGAACCCTAGTGGGAAAAAAGTAATCCTTCGAACAGAGCCCTACTTTTTTCCTGTTATTTTAGGTGATTTTTAAATTTCTTGTATTTTCCAGGTTTTCCCAGTGGAGTGGCAACCTAGGAACCCTAGTGGGAAAAAAGTAATCCTTCGAACAGAGCCCTACTTTTTTCCTGTTATTTTAGGTGATTTTTAAATTTCTTGTATTTTCCAGGTTTTCCCAGTGGAGTGGCAACCTAGGAACCCTAGTGGGAAAAAAGTAATCCTTCGAACAGAGCCCTACTTTTTTCCTGTTATTTTAGGTGATTTTTAAATTTCTTGTATTTTCCAGGTTTTCCCAGTGGAGTGGCAACCTAGGAACCCTAGTGGGAAAAAAGTAATCCTTCGAACAGAGCCCTACTTTTTTCCTGTTATTTTAGGTGATTTTTAAATTTCTTGTATTTTCCAGGTTTTCCCAGTGGAGTGGCAACCTAGGAACCCTAGTGGGAAAAAAGTAATCCTTCGAACAGAGCCCTACTTTTTTCCTGTTATTTTAGGTGATTTTTAAATTTCTTGTATTTTCCAGGTTTTCCCAGTGGAGTGGCAACCTAGGAACCCTAGTGGGAAAAAAGTAATCCTTCGAACAGAGCCCTACTTTTTTCCTGTTATTTTAGGTGATTTTTAAATTTCTTGTATTTTCCAGGTTTTCCCAGTGGAGTGGCAACCTAGGAACCCTAGTGGGAAAAAAGTAATCCTTCGAACAGAGCCCTACTTTTTTCCTGTTATTTTAGGTGATTTTTAAATTTCTTGTATTTTCCAGGTTTTCCCAGTGGAGTGGCAACCTAGGAACCCTAGTGGGAAAAAAGTAATCCTTCGAACAGAGCCCTACTTTTTTCCTGTTATTTTAGGTGATTTTTAAATTTCTTGTATTTTCCAGGTTTTCCCAGTGGAGTGGCAACCTAGGAACCCTAGTGGGAAAAAAGTAATCCTTCGAACAGAGCCCTACTTTTTTCCTGTTATTTTAGGTGATTTTTAAATTTCTTGTATTTTCCAGGTTTTCCCAGTGGAGTGGCAACCTAGGAACCCTAGTGGGAAAAAAGTAATCCTTCGAACAGAGCCCTACTTTTTTCCTGTTATTTTAGGTGATTTTTAAATTTCTTGTATTTTCCAGGTTTTCCCAGTGGAGTGGCAACCTAGGAACCCTAGTGGGAAAAAAGTAATCCTTCGAACAGAGCCCTACTTTTTTCCTGTTATTTTAGGTGATTTTTAAATTTCTTGTATTTTCCAGGTTTTCCCAGTGGAGTGGCAACCTAGGAACCCTAGTGGGAAAAAAGTAATCCTTCGAACAGAGCCCTACTTTTTTCCTGTTATTTTAGGTGATTTTTAAATTTCTTGTATTTTCCAGGTTTTCCCAGTGGAGTGGCAACCTAGGAACCCTAGTGGGAAAAAAGTAATCCTTCGAACAGAGCCCTACGGCTCAGCGAAGCATCCCTTGGTGACCGCTGTTCTAGTTAAAAGTTCATATTGAAAAAGGGGCTCAGCCACAATCAGAAATAGACTTTATGCAAATAATTCAAGAAATAATCAATTAACAAAATATATATCACAGAAAAGTAGTATCTTCAGTAAAGGCACCGGCAACTCTAAATTCCTCCCTAGTGATGACGCAATACATTCTCTGAGGAGTAGGCGTGCAACCTGGAGGCCTGGGCATCGTTGTCCGCAGGATGAATTCTTTTCCTGATGAAGCAGGGAATTCTGGGACTTTTGAATGATGGGAATGTGTTTCGGTGGGAATTGTGGGTGCACCAAGTGGTTTATCATCCATTATCAGGTGTGAAGCCTGAAAAAGAATTAGAACTATTTACTAATACAGTTAAATCTCTGTTAAACAGTATCTTATTAAATGGTGAGCTTTATATCTTATGGTCCCCTCTGAAATACAAAAATTTCTATTTACAGAATATCACATAATTTTATACAGTATTTATATCACAACGTATTCTTAAAACAAAAATTATAGTTTTTACTATAGTGACTTATAATGTAGAATTTCATTAAGCATTAAATAAGTTCAGCAAATGAATTCAAAGTTTTTTTTTTAAAAAAAAAAGGGCAATAGGAAAAGAAGGAACAGATTTTGAACAAAAACTGTATTTTCCAATGATTATTTTTTTGTTCTGGAATCCTAATCAGGGTGTGTAGCCAGATTTTTCCACAAAAAATGAGCATTTTTTAAGTTCTTTTTAAGCACTCCAAAAATATTTTAAATCACAAAATCTGTGCAGTAGTAAAAATTATTTTTTCTATCGTTTTAAGTTCTTAATTTAAAAACATAAAATCAATAAAATTCAAAAACTTTTCCAAAGACTTTGCATAATCATGATAAAATAACTAGTTTCTGATGAATATTGCAGAGAAAATTGTGAAAATCATGAATTTTTTATAATTTAGGACAATCGATACGGCGAAGAAAAAAATCTCCTTTTAAAAAATAGAAAATTAAGGTCTTTTTACAAACCTTGAATAAAAAAAGCACCTTTAAGGGCTTTTAAAAAACGTAAATCAAAAATAAGCACCTTTAAGCATTTTTCAAAAATGCTATGCACCCTGATAATGCTAAAATTCCTCGACTGCAGTCGATATTAATTGAAAATATACTTAACACATATTGGAGCAATAATAGTTTGGAGAACTTTCTCAAAAATAGAAAAACTAATTTCATTGATAAGAGATTTTAAATTTGCTTTGAAATATTTAAAAAAATAAGGGTATTCTGTTTTTCTTAACCTCAAAACTATAAATGGAGACAAAAATTATAGGTACTAGCAAGACTATGCTCTTTCACATGTTAAAAACATTGTCAGCAAACTACATAATTTTACATGGGGAAATACAAATCTAGAGATAAAATAACCAATTTTGAGATAAAATGAGAAAACACAAATTGAGAGATGAGGAAATACAAATTTTGTGATGAAAAAAATTAAAAAAATTTTGTTTATGAGTAATAAAAGTTCAAAAAATCATCTATTTAACCCATTCTGTGCAGATTTTGGATTATTTTTAGTTTAAAATTATGCAGATATTAGTAAACATTAGAATTGAAAATATTTTCTGACTAGTATTATTTAAATAATAATAACCAAATATAAAAAGTTGTTTTTATATTTAACTACCGTCAAATAAACAAGCTTTTTAAGCAAGTGCAAAAAAAGTTTTGGATTCTTTTAAATAGTCTTTGAAACATGGCAAAATACTAAAATTAGAATTTAGCATTAAGGAGCCTAAACTTATCCATTGTAAAAAGAGGTATGTTTATTCAGAGAAATTATGTTTTGTTTCCTGATATGGGAAGATTTCCATATCGTGATCTGCAGCAGAATAATTGCCAATTCTTGGCAACTTCCGGGCATCAACCAAAGAGAAACTAAAAAAAAAAAATCACAGAAAGGGACCAACTCGAAAGGTTTAACTCGTAGCCATCCCCCGGGCAAACATCTACATGATTTTTTTTTAAAAATTTGCAAGTTTAAGATCTATTTGGCACCTTGGAGATCACGATATGGAAATATCCCCCTTGATATCATAACTTAACCACAAAAAGATTATAAAAATAATTTAAATTAATATTATTTAAAAACAATAAAAATATATTCTCCTGGTTTGATCCTTGGGCCGGGCAAGGCTGACTCAGCTTTTCATCCCTTCAGTGGGTCGATAAATTAGTACCAAGCATGCTTGGGAACTAAACACTGGGGGTTCCGCGTTCGGCTAACCACCTGAGCGGAACAGCTGCTCCTGCACCCCAGAGTCCAAGGTCAAGAAAACTGAGATGGGCACAGTAGGCCTTGGCCCTCTTTGGGCTGTCGCGCCACTGAGTTTAGTTTAAAAATGTATTCTAGCGAAAATAAAATTTTTTGCCCTTAAAAAGAAAAGTCTTTCAGCTAAAAACTCTGTAATGTTCTGCAACAATGTCGCTGTGATTTCTGTCACGGGGAAGCACAGAATGAATAAAAACTTTTAGAACTGAATCACGCTATTGAATAGCGAGTTTAAAATGAAATTAAAAGTTCTTACCCTTTGAGCCTCAGAGAACAAATGGCGTATTCTTCGACCAACTACTCCTTTTCCAGCCCCGGGCACATCAATTTCGTAGTTGTCGAGTAGTTCGAGCACAAATTTGCGTATTTCTTGTTGCTCAGACAATTTCTCATTGTCTTGCAATGAAGATGTCAATTTTCCCTCCTGCTCAATCAGTTCTTCAACATTCAGTACAAGTCCAAACTTTGTACTCACTGAATGTATCTGGGCAACTATGACTTCTGCTTGGTACAGGCATCGCAGTACAGCCTGAAAAAGAAATTTGATTCACTCGTAAGATTTTATGTTAAAAGTGATAGCAATTATGTTTGAATGAAACGTAAAATTCAATATTTGTTTAATCATTCATTCTTATATTCTAATAGCATTTCGAAAATTGAAAGTCTGCAATACAGTCGAACCTTTATTTCAGATATAACCGTCGTTGAACAGCCGACCAAGGGTTTACGACTATTAATGTTCAACTCTGTAGCCTTGTAATTTTGAACCCAATCCAGAAGAGAAGGGAACTCCTGGATCAAGTATTGCGAGAAATTTGCCTTTGTGGAGGACTTTTTGAAGGAACTAACCCACATTTTCCATACATGGATAGGAAAACCACAAAAACTTTCCACTGTTAGCCGGACGGCAAGGGACTCAAACCCATGATTCGTCTACTACTGAGGATATTTTACGTCAGCACTGTGGTCGATGCAAGCCGGGTGTGGAATTTGTATAGACCAGCCATTACGGGGATTCGCACCGGGTTCCCCTCATTGGAAGGCGAACGTTCTATCCCCTGAGCTACCATGGCTTATGTTAAAGTGATAGCAATTATGTTTGAATGAAATAAACATTCAATATTAGTTTAATCATTCATTCTCATATTCTAATAGCATTTTGAATAATCAAAGTCTGCAATACAGTCGAACCTTGTTAGTTAAGGAAAAGTAAAGGATGGTAAAAAATATTTTTTAATTAACTTAAACTTAAGTGATAAAACAACAATTAAGTGATAAAACAACAATTAAGTGATAAAACAACTAGAGGCATTTATGACATTTTTAAAAACAAATCCCTTAAAGATAATATATATAACTGATGTATAAGAACTGATGTATAACACTATAACTGATGTATAACAACTGTCGAATAAGCACCGGCTGGTATACCATACTTCATTGCTATCACTGATTTAAATCACATAAAATCTTATGCTAAGTTTTTAACAGGGCGCGTAGCCAAATCCTTCAACAAAAAATAAGCACCTTTTAAGTACTTTTTAAGCACTCAAAAAATATTTTTTTAGCATTATACACATGAACAAAATGCAAAATAATTTTCAAAGACTTTACATGATCACGATAAAATAACTAGTTTCTGACAAAGAACTTCATTCTTGATTATATTAGCCACCATAAAAAGACTGAAAGAATTTTCTGCTTGATTTCAGAGGGGAGAAAATGAAGCCTGAAATTTAGAATATCTTGCAAACTGCAGTAGAGTTGCATATGAGAGTGCTAGAATCTCATCGAACCCAGTTGATAATACATGGCGAAAATCGACATGGGAAAGAAAAAAATATCATTTTCGAAAACGGAGAATTAAGCACTTTTTCAAAACATCTGATGAAAAAAGCACCATGTGGACACGCAAGTATTTCATCAACCCTATAAAATTATTGGCACTTGCATACGCTATGGATCAACGGCACGCCAAAATGGATTGTGGTTGAATGAATTGTTAAAACATTGAATAGAACAATGTGAAAACCACACTTTTGCACAATACATAGCGAAAATTGACATGGTAAAGGAAGAAAAAAAAATCTCATTTTCAAAAAGGGAATATTAAGCATTTTTTAAAAACCTCCAATGAAAAAAGCACCTTAAAGGACTTTAAGAAAACTTAAATAAAAAATAAGCACCTTTAAGCACTTTTTAAAAACGATATGCACCATGTTTTAACCAAGAGGTTTTTTCATACTCATTTTCTTAACTAAAGCTCCAATACAATTAGAATCAACAATGTGAAATGAAAAGCTAAGAAAATAAAAATTGATTACAAAAGGATTTTAACACCAGCACGGAAGTAATTCAATTTTTTTCCCCTTCCCCAGGGTCACCACCTAGATCGACACCACTTGTCATCAAAGGTCCAGTTGGTGATGTCACCAATAGCAGATTGATGCTAATTGATGGTGACCCTTCATGTCATTTCCAAAAACAAATACACTATACTAACTTGCCCACTTCAAAAGGAAAAACTTATTTTTAAACAAGGAAGGTCCACCATAAAGGAAACAATGTAGAAATTCTTATTTTTTTGGTGCAATTTTACTTCATCTTAAAAGGGCAAAGTTTGCTGTTTTTATGATTATATTAAAGGAAACAATTATTGTTTTACAAGATAATGTGATAGTTAAAACTGTTTTCCTTTGCCTTAAGCAAAGATTTAAGTTAAGCATTTTTGTCTTAACGAGGTTCGACTGTATTTTCAATCGGTCAGTTTAGAAGCTCGATAGTGAAATGCTGAGGCGAGGATGGTTTCTGATCACATAGAGGCTTCTATACACCTGACCGTACAAGGTGTTAATAACTGCCCTCAAGAGTTAATATATAGTTAAATTACTCTCTGAAAATCTCAGCAAAAGTTAAAATTCAGAACAATATTTTCAGATGAGGCTAGAACAAGGCTGGTGATCAAATGACCAATGGTTATATAGTTTATTTAACTTGTGCCTGGAAAATATAATAAGAAAATTTAAAGTGGAAACGATAACAGAAATTCATAGATTATAGTTCATCATTTAAAGTTTCAGAAAAAAAGCTGATCATGGCATTGTAACTACATTTCAGGAACAGGTTTACAAAAAAGAATTATTATTATAACATATATATATAGATATTTGAAAAAAATGAAAATCAAAATAAGTTATTATCTGACATCAAATCAATAAGAATATTATTTATGACAGGAATGATCTGAAAAGGAGTAAAAGGATGTAGTAAATAATCGAAAAAGCATTTAAAACTTTGCATAAGAAAATAACTATAAGAGAAATTTCATAAAAATGAAAATTAAAGTAGAGGCGTTAAGAGACATGACAGCTTCATCAGTGGGACATAACTATGTTGTCAGCGCAGGAGCAGTCTCTGTGGTTGGCATTAAAATATTGCCAATAACCACACCCTGATTTCTCCAAGAAAGAAAAGATAGAAACCAAAAGTAAATAAGATGAAGATTATAAACTGAGATCTTGAAAATCAAAGCAGAAGTACATAAATTTAATGGAAGGAAAACACGATTTTTCGAATCAGTGTCAAGGGTCGCAGATTCGAGTATTAAATTAGTTTGTGTGCCAAAATGGAGAACAAAAAAAAATCTACAAATGAAATAATTTAAATTATATATGATATACAAATATACAATTAAACTAAAAACCAAACTAATCAACTGGAAATACAAACAGGCACCTAATTAAGTTTCAAGGTGATCCAACCGAACCTTCAATGGCCCTACCATAGCATAAATCTATTAAATTGGGTACCTGTCTATATATCCAATCAGAACGTAATTATTCAATAGAAGGTTACATAGGGATTTACAATAATTTAAAATAAGTGTATCATTATTACAAATAAACTTAATTTGATTAATTTGAGAAAAAATATTATTCAAGTAAATTAACTTGTTGAAAAGTAATAGAAAGTAATTTCTTTTATTAAAAATATCAATTTGAGCTTTAGCGGAGTTTTCAGTTTCTGTTAAAAAAATATTGATTCAGTGTTATTGGAGGAGTGTAATTATGAAACATTCTGTATGAATAGATTTGTAAAACAGCATGACAAAAAGAATACATACTTCATATTTGGGGACGGGGCTTCTCATAACTTTAGCTGCTTTCATGGCAGTTTCTTCAAGTTTCAAAGGCAGTGATTGAGGACATTCTTCTGCAATATATAGATAATATACATATATAGAATTGCGAAATTTTAGTTAAAGGAGCACACTAAAATTATAAAATATATTTATTCATATCTGATTATGACAGAAGACTCAGTTGTTGTTGTCGTCATCCATAAAAGTAGAGGGGTGTGAATGTTCCTGTTTTCCAGTATCGCCCTCTATGACCAAGAATTCGACTTCTGCCACACCCATACATCACATCCATTTATAGGACGGACCAATTCATTAATCCATTTATTCGTCCACAAATCGTAATTTTGGCATGAACCAGAGAACGATCAATCTCCAATTCAGTACCCCTAGAAGTATTGATTTGTTATGGGTACGTGGTGGATAAGGGTACATGGATGATTTGAAAGATTTAACGAGCACCAGTCACCGTTTACTACACGGTGAGTCTTCGGCCGGCTGGATTTGAACTCCCGCTCTCATAAAAGTGAGTCTAGAGACCTGCCAACCAGGCTATCCTGGCCGAAGACTCAGTTGATAATCAAACTCAATTTTCATTCACAAGAAATGAAATTAGCCTCACTGGGTTAGAAAAGTTTTAGCATGGCATTTCATAATCGAATAAGTAACAAGTGTATAACAAAAATGGGGCACCTGGATAACTTTTAACCTAGTTATCCTTTTTTAAGGAACTAAGATATAATCCTAATGATACAAGGGCATAATCTGAAATAGGCTTATTAATTTATACAGACAAAATTTTATGTTCAAAGTATATGCTATGCCAAAAATATACTTCTTTAAATAAACATATTATTGACAGATTTTAATTCTTTACCTATAAAATGTGGTCAAAATAGTTTAACCAAAGAATGTTTAAACCCATTCAGTTTTTGAATATTGCACCAGACAAGTAATATTGTGCACCCTGAAACTGTTCAAAAGAGAAAAAAAATTTTCCTTACATATAATTGCAGAACTCCTTTATCTAAAATAACTTCCTGCAAAATATAAATTTTAAAACTTTATGAAATTAAATAATAAAAAATAATAATGGGTAAATAATACTTAAATTACCAGATGTACAAATTTCTGATTCTGTCATGGATAAAAGTTAAAAAAAAAATAAAAAATAGGTAAAGATTTATATACTATACATTTTAGAATTTTTTGAACGAATATTAAGTTAGATTAAAAAAAAGTTTATGTAGAATGATTTTTGGTAAACCAGTTTTATAACTGCGTGCAAAAACTTTTTGATTTATTAAAATTAGTTCCAGAGTTTAAAAATATTGAGTTACTCTGAATTTAATTTGAATATAGTTTGAAAATGACTGTCAAATTAACATTAAGGCGTTCAACTTCCGAATTCTCTCCAAACTAAACTAATAATATTTTCCTACATATTATAAGATTCCTACTACATATTCCCTACATATCCATATTACAGCTACTTCCCCCTAGTGAACAAAAAAAGAAGAGAAGTGTTCTTTCAGAGAAAATTCATTTTTGTGTCTGGTTTAATAATTTAAAATTTTTTTAGTATTAATAAATCAAGCTAGTAAGACAGAATAGTTGTAGGTGAAAACCATATAGTTAGATCAACAGTCATAGAGGTATTTCATTTTTTTATTATTATTATACAGGGTGCTTCAAACACTAGTATTAGCAATTAATATAACTTTTAACATTATTAGAAATAAATTAGGAAAATATAACAATTAATAATAAGAGCAGATTTTCACTAATAAATAAACTAATATGGCTTTGAAATGGACGTGCATATGCTTGCTGAATTTTTCGACAATAGACCGCAAGTCAGCGCTAAGAGAGATTCTTTTTCAACAATAAGTGCTTTGCTATCAAACAAGCTCATAACTTCTATATCTGGTTCATAGATGTTCCAAAAACCTTGGCAATGGTTTAACATCACCAAACTGCAAAGTCTGCCATGATCGGGAATTGAATTTATACAAGATGCAAAAGATTTCTTGCTTTCGTGGGTGAGAGCGTAAAATGAAACACAAAGTATGCCATCGGAACATTTCAGAAGCTCTTTCACTTTAGTAGGGGGAAAAAAGCACTTTAGCATACTAAATTCGACATATCAACAAGACTCTGCACCAGTTTACAAAGCCAAAAAGACATTTTGTCAGAGTGGTGCAAAACCTACTTTTTGAAAAAGATAAATATCTGAATAATGGTCATTCACCTGCTTACTGACCGCAGTCAGTGATACTTGACTTCATTGTTCTACTGGAAACCGTGTCTTTACGATCAGTCCACTGCGGGACAACAGATAGAAAATATTTTATAATGAAGCAAAATTAAAAAAGTTAAAACTAAAGGAAATACCTTCTTCAGCCAATTGAAGCAGAGCACAGTGGATCAACATGGGAAGTAAATTTGTGACAACATCAGATGTTTTAGCAGAAGCAAGAAAATGTAATACCTGAAAATAGCAGAATGTTATTTGGTTAAGATTTTAATGGGATACCTGCAAGTGACATAGTGCGGGTATCTGATTGGTTGTCGAGACGGGGCATTTGTTTAAGTTAGTAACTGTTCTTGTTTTTATGCTATTTGAATGGGTAAGTTAGTTTAGAATAAAATTTTAAAAAATATTTAGGATACCACAGAACTAACAATTTTCAAAAAAATATTTTTTAAAAAAGGAGAAGAGTCTATTTTAATAATTGTATATTTATCATGAAATTAAATTATTGTAAGCTTTTTAAAACAGTAATAATCAAAAACACATCCATTTAATCTTCCTTTTTTTTAAACCATTTACTTTTTTGTGCACACATATTGCACCTAACATTTTATGAGATATGGAATTGTATTTAAACCATCATAACTGTAAGTTACTTTGATAAATTAGTATAAAAATTTGCCAGCCTAGTAATGAAACCCACTGAATAATATAGAGAAAAAATGTTTCCTATTTGAAACGGCAACCATGTCTACCAACAAACAACATTTGGAGTTGAAAACTAAATAGTATATATTTTTCATAATATATTAGTATACATATTATTAAAAGGATAGTGTTTGTACACATTTACAAATCAATTGTCAAAATAAAATAAATAATTATTTAGAAAATCATATACCTTTTTAGTATGAAAAAAATATGTAAAAATGCACTTCTCTTACTAAATATTCTAATTTAATAGTTTACTAAAAATATTTCAAACTTTTTTTGTTAACAGGTCAATTCAGAATAGAATTTTATTAATTTGAATTGTCTAGCAGAATTATTTGAAATTGAAGCCAGAAACGACCCACGAAAAGAATAATCATTCTCAATTATATTATATTGCAAGAATATGCATAACCTATGAAAATTATATAATATAGGTAATGTTAATTCCTCAATTGTGATTACAATTTTTTTTTTTAAATATTATTTTTCAATTTGGCACTCACCCATAAAAAAATTTCTCCGATAAATACATAAAGAAAATATTAATTTTGCATTTAAATTCTTATATTTTCCTTCATAATTTATGCAATGACCACCATTTTTTTACAAGAAAAATAAACCTCCTCACTTCATAATTTTTTTTTTCAAGAAAGAAAGAAGTTCAAATTTTTTCTAGAAATTCTAGTTTTCAGCAGGATGAGTCTCCGAAAATTGAATAACACAAACAAATTCATATTTTTTGACATGGGTAAAAATAGTAAAGTCATTATTTAAAAAATTAGAATTTCTTGAAATTTTTTTTACGTAAAACAATGTTGTTCAATGAAATTGAAGAGCAACAATTGGAATGAAAATGCATATTCAATTTTAGACACCTTATATATTAAAAAAAGAAATAAACCTTTTCAGCTTCCTTTGTATCATCAAAGAGCCGTTTCTGACGTCTAGCTGGAACCGGGCGTGCACTTTCCCAAGCTTCCAGCCACATATTGCCTGGCAATAACATTCTTTGACTCAAAGAATCTAAAAATAGAAGGGAAAAGAAGGTAATCAAAACTTTGAAAAGGGAAAAATTTGGAAATATAACAAAATATTTTCGTTTGAAACAAAACAACAATCTTAATACAAATTCACAATACAAGGCATTGAGTACTGCCCACCTATCATAAGCATCCAACTGGGTGTTGCATTCCTAACAGCAGGTAACATTAGACTATTATAAATTATCATGATACTCTAACTGACTGTGAGGCCACAATAGGCATTACAGATTTCCTATCCTTTAAAATTTCTTTATTTCTTAAACTTATATTTTTTAATTATTCTCAATCGAATTTTAATTAAATTAAATCAACTATTTAATTTTTATTACAATTTAAAAAAAGCGAATAAAAAATATTTTATTCTTTTCTTATCGATCATTGTAATGGATAACTTTTTATTTCAATACTAATGTCATGAATTCACCAAATCGAAAACAAAAATACTCGTTATTTCTTATCACTAAAATGTTTCCGTTACTTGGTCATACGAATTCTTACAGTTTTTTTTTAGATTGGCTATCGCCAAATTATTTTTAAACCTAATATTGATTACGAAGGGCTTTATTTTTGGCTATGTTATCTTTCAATAAATCACCAACCATGGATCTCTTCCCATGCTCCTAACTGTCTGTTGGGAACAATTCTATCACTTTTTAAATTGGCTTTTGATTAGGCTGGTCATGGGGGATTTATCTCCCATGGCCTGTTCTCATTAATATTATTTTTCAAAATTAAATTAACTTCGGAAATCTTATTATGGATAAAATATAATTTTGTATCTTGAGCTCTACAAATACTGAATGAAAGTTTTATTATAATTATGATCCAGTTCTCATTGTCAACTGTCATTCTCATTATCCTGTTTTCATCACAATCTTCAATTAGTCAATTATACCACAAAACTCTAACCACACCTAATTTCGTCATTATAGACCAACAGTATCCAGGCACCTAATAATATGGAATCAAAGAGTCTTGAGGCATATATTAACACATGATGATGTTGCATAAATGACAGCCTGCACACCTTCCATCCATTCCTAACACTGCCGCGCAATTAAAAGATCAACGTACGAGACAAAAAAAATTCTATTCTGCCCTTCACAACATTAACAATAGAAACAGAAAAGTTGCCAAGCCACTTTTCTCGGAATCAATGGTGAAGCACTTACATTGTCTTTTGTTTTGTTTTTTATTCCAATTGCATAGCAGAGAACCATTATGGCTCAGGAGATAGAGCATTCGCCTTCCAATGAGGTGAACCGAGTTAAAATCCCAGCAATGGTTGGTCGATGCAAATTCCGCATCCTGCCTCCACCAACCACAGTGCTGACGGGAAATATCCTCAGTGGTTGACGGATCAAGGGTTAGAGTTCCCTAGCTGTCAGACTAAAAATGGGAGGTTCTTGTGGTCTTCCTCTCCATGTAACGCAAATTTGAGTTATTTCAACCGTAAGTCCTCCATGAAGGCAAATTTCTCCTAATAATTGATTCAGGAGTTCCTTTGTCTTCTGGATTGGGTTCAAAATTACAAGGTTGAACATTAGTAGTCGTAAACGCAAAATTGGGTCGGCTGCTACGACGGTTATGAAATAAAATTACATGGCAGAATAGGTCGTCATAGAAGTTGACTATATCTAGGCATATATCACAGTTGAAATGAGTATGGCCAATATGGCTGGCTATGCAATCTGCTTTCTAATTTGTTCAAAAAGTGTTCTATTATGGCCTTAGAGAAGACCAGTCCCATTGAATCAAACCATACTTGCTTTAAGCCTTGATGTGTGAATAGAGCAGTTATCTTGCCGGAAGAGAAATGGCCTTTTTTCCAAAATATTGTCATAGAGTTTGGAGAGCAATATTGCCCAGAATTGCAAGAGTAATAATTCTTTTTCATAAAACTAAATTTCAATAAAAAACAATGTTTAAAATCGCAAATGGTAAAAATTTATTAAAAACCTGTACGCGTTTTGGTGTTACAATGGTACACCTTCATCAGTTGGATGAAGTACAGGAATAGTAAAAACAGAGATAATTAAAATCTGCCATGCTTAAAGATATGCTCCCCATACCTCTCAGGGATGAAGTTTACAAATAATGAAAATTAAAGGACTCAAGAAAAACTATGAAAAATACCCCCCACTAAATAGCTAGCTTCACTTACGTCTGTGTCTAAACACTTTTGATCAGATAGTATAGCAGAACAATATCAGGCAATTGCTTTAGTATTAGAGAAATCGTAAAATAATAGTGTAAATGTCCATAATATGTTTAATAGTGAAAGTAATAACTTTAGAATGTAATATCAAACTGGGAACTATTCATAAGGCTCTTTGCAATAAAAAATATATTGGATAACCACAAAATAACAACACTTCATGAACTTTCTTGGTGCAAAACTTTCTGGTGAGCAAGAAGTCAAATGAGACCAAGGCTGTTCTTATATAATGTATTTCGATTTTATTTACATTTATTTGTTATTCATTCAGTCAAGTTAGGAAATAATAAAAATAATAAACTGGAGCAAGTTATAAGTAGAATAATTTTCAAATTCATTTCCTTCTTATCACCATCCAATATTGAAGATGTAGATTGAAATGTAGTAACTAAACTAAGTTCTGCAAACTTTCAAATTCAAAAATTAATAACTTATAGCAATATAATATATTTATAATAACTCCTAATAGAATAGCAAAATCAGGGTGCGTAGCCAATTTTTTCAACCAAAAATAAGCACCTTTTAAGTACTTTTTAAGCACTAAAATATTTTTAAGCACTTTAAAATACATGATTAGGACATGCACATTTTTTTCCTTCACATTGTTGAAAGTTCTTCCTATATATGTTAACAAAATGCAAAATAAATTTCAAAGTGACATGATCATGATAAAATAACTAGTTTCTGAAAAAGAATTATTTTCTTGATTATATTAGCCATCATAAAAACAATTTATGCACACTTTTAAATATATTCAATATTGAGAAGAAGAAAAATTGGTCCCCGTGGTCAGCAAAAATTCAAGAAATTTTTCAGTTCAATTTCAGGCAGCAGAAAATCAAGCCAAAAATTGAGAATCTCTTGAAAATACAGCAAAATTGCTAGTGAGAATGCAAGAATTCTTCCCGCCGAATCCAGCTCAGTATACGCACATGCGGCCCCACAAGTATTTCATTAAACACTTAAAATTATTGGCGCTTTAAGACGCTACGAACCAATGGTATGCCGAAATGGATTGGGGTTGAAATCAATTCTCAAAACGTTGAATAAAACAATATGAAAACTACGCCGACGCCTTTTGCGAAAATCATGGCAAAAATTTATATGGTAAAGAAGAAACATATCATTTTGGAAAAGGAAAAATTAAGCACTTTTCAAAAACAAACAATGGAAAAAAGCACCTTTAAGCATTTTTTAAAAACACTACGCACCTTGGTGAATATAGGCAATAGGCAAAATGCATGTAGGCAAATAAAGAAAAGAAAGAATAGAGCTGAAATTTTAGCTGCTAAAAAGTAGAAAAGCGAGTGTGTTTAAGACAGGAATGCTAATTCCAACTTTAGCCATTAAATAGCATTGTAACAAAATAGCTTTTAAAAACTAGCTCAAAGACAAAATTTTGGAAAGTTAACTGGCATCATTCAAAAGTCAACTTAATGTAATCACACTTATTTGAAATAATATTTAATCTAAACTTGTTTTATTAATTGAAGCTTTAAACATATATAAATTAAAACTTATAAATGATCGTTTGCATTAAACTAAAAAATAATATGAAACTCACATTTAGTCGTTTTCTTTCCAGTCTCTTGGTCCACAACTTCCTCTTCAATGAGATCTCGTGGAGAATACCATCGAACGAAATCTTCAAGAGCAGATTTTGGATTGGCAGCCTGGACGTAAAATAAAAGTTTTAATCAGCAACAAAATATTTAAAATGGTCTCCAATAAATAAAAGTATAGTATATAATTTCTACAAAGAAAAAAATAATAATATGAATCAAATTTATAATTAAACAGGGGTGCGTAAAAGTAATTAAGCATGATTTTATTATTTCATTACGATTTTACTTAACACTCAGTTATTAAAAATTAAATTTTTTCACGTGTTCTACAATCTTAAAATATAAAGCGGAAATGGTGATTCTGAAAAGCATCGTCTACCTTTAAATATATAATCAGAATAGATCAAAATTAAAAAATTGCACCATAAACTTCATAGATTTATTAGTTTTAAAGAGAAAACTCTTGCTTACGAAAAAATTTATATTGTGTCGTTCCCGTTTCGATTCAATAAACAATTTGAAATTCGCTGTACTTTTCTAGTTTACCGAATTACGTATAAAAAGTTCTATGGAAAATCATGGTTCAAAAAATCATGGCCAGGAGGTAAGTAAAAAGAATATTTTTTTAAAAAAAATCACAGAAGGTAATGGAACCGTAAAAGCTATCGCTAAAGGGTCTTGTAAATTATTCATAATAGTTAAATATAATTTTACACCTATTTAATTTATACTGGATTTTCACACATAATTCACGTATTCATTATTTAGTTTTTAAAGGAGGTTGTTGTTGTTAATTTACGTCGCACTAGAGCTGCACAATGGGCTATTGGCGACGGTCTGGGAAACATCCCGGAGGATGATCCGAAGACATGCCATCACAATTTTGATCCTCTGCAGAGGGGATGGCACCCCCGCTTCGGTAGCCCGACGACCTACGCGCGAAGTCGAGCACTTTACGGTAGCACAGTTTAACGAGGACCAATAACGCACACCCTCGGTCCCAACGCAGACTGATCCAAGTGGTCACCCACCCGCACACTGACCGTAGCCAGTGATGCTTGACTTCGGTGATCTGCTGGGAACCGTGTCTTAACGATCAGTCCACTGCGGGACTTTTAAAGGAGGTATAGGCCCTTCATGGACTATATAGCCGCGAAGTAAGTAATTATTTAGCTTTAAACGGCTAAGCGTAGCATGATAGTACAGGAGATACTCGAAGTTATGATCAGACTCCTGGAAGTACCTATTCCAACATCAGTGTGTAAAATGACAAATCTTTTGATATGTAGGCAAACAAGGTTAATCTAGGATACTTCCTGCCGCAATGGCATTTTATCAAAATCTTTGAGTATCTTTGATTGTAGTATTGGTGGCACCTGCATAACGTTAGCAGAGTAAATATAAAAATTATTTAGAATGATTTTTGCTTATTATCTTTACTACGTATTATTTGCAATCCTATTTCTCAGCTCTTGATGGAGTATGCAACAACAAGAGCCTGTGCGCTTTTTTTTAAAATCATTTTTGCATGCTTGCTTCGACCTTTCAGTTTGGTCACGATTTTTGCGAATTACTCTGCATATTTTCGATTCCCAAGAATTAAATGCCTGTAACGTTTGATCCCTGAAATACAAAAAAGAATGATACTTGCGAATAGATGTTTTTATGGATATTAGAAGAAATTTCTAAAATCAGACTTTCTTAAACTGAGAACTAAACTGCCTTTTTACAAAAGTCTTATAAGGTTTATCCAGACATAAACATCAGAGACTTGGGCTTTAACTTTACTTGCTGCGGAGGCACTAGGGTCATCCGAGAAAATTTTTTTGGTGGGGTTCAGGTTAAAGGAGAAGAAGAAATAATTTAGAGCTTTACAGGGTTTATAAAGAACCTAATATATTTATTTTATAACCATCGTTGAACAGCCGACCCAATTTTTTTCTGATTTACGACTACTAATGTTTAAATCCGAAGCCTTGTAATTTTGAACCCAATCCAGAAGACAAGAGAACTGTTGTATCAGGTATTGGGAGAAATTTGCTTTCGCAGAAGACTTTTTGATGGAACTAACCTGCATTGCGTTACATGGAGAGGGTAACAAAGAAAACCTTCCACGGTTAGCCTGCAAGCAACGGGACTCTAACTCAATTATCCGTCTACCGCTGAGGATATTTTACGTTTCGGTGCAAGCTGGATGCGGAATTCGTATCGATCAGCCATCGATCACCCGGTTCACCTCATTGGAAGGTGAACGCTCTATCCCCTGAGCCATCACGGCTGAAAGAATCTAATTTTTTTTATCCGTCGTTGAACAGCCGACCCAATTTTGGGTTTACCACTACTAATGTTCAACTCTGTAGTCTTGTACTTTTGAACCAATCCAGAAGACAAAAAAACTCCTAGATCAGTACCGCCAGAGGAATTATTTGTTATGGGAACATGGAGGACTTCGTGAATCGCATCCCGGCCCCAAGAACCTAATATTGTAAAATTCATCAAAATCCAGCGAAATAAATGGGATGGCCATCCGGCAAGAACATCGAAGCTGTAAAAAGGTTTTTCTGACAAAGCCCTTGTGTAAAAAACCTAGCAATAGATCCCCACTAAGATGAATCAATTGGGTTGAGAATGATCTAAACATTCTTAGAACTGGAGAATAATCACCAAATGAAGAAATTATTGGAAAAATGAGCGAAGCTAACAGATAGAATATACGCACCAATATATAATTTATTTTTCTCTGTATTACTTTTAAATAAGTCAGAATCTAGCAAGAAATAATCTACATGCCGCAAATATGCAAGCTAGAGAATACTGTAAATCAAATTTACAGCTTCCTATCAGGTAGGGGAAAAAAGAACAAATACCGGATCCATATGAATAAAAAGTTCCAATTTTATGTGCAGTTGTGGCCTTCAGTGACAATTAAACTATAAGTATTGTAGCCAATAAAGATATCCAGCATATCAGGATAAACTAGATCAGTTGACCTTCAGCAATCCATCAACTGTTTGTGTCTTTTGGTTACTAATGACAATAATTCATTTTCCACATTTACTCTCATTACTGTTGGTAACAAACAGTTCAATTGATACAAAATTGCAAGTCAAGTAAGGTCATCTTGGACGTTTATGCTCAAAACTAAATGCGGGTTAGATTATTTTTTCATTGTTTTGGCTTTATGAACCAAAGAAATCTATACGGGAAAAAAACTAATTGTATCTAATAAAATTTTTAAATTGAAACATTAAAAATTATACTTACCTTGAAAGCTTCCATATCTGACATTAAACAGGCACTTTGCATTCGAGCTCTTAATGCTGCACCCTCTGCGTGTGTACCAAGCTGTACCAAAACTTCCGCTTGCTCTTCCAGCATGTCTTCAGTAACTGGTGCTGGTTCCTAGAGAGTAATACAGAAAATCAATGATTGATAATTTTACAATAGTTTTGAAGAAATAATACTTATAATTAATACTTAAAACAGCACTTATGATTAATTACTTGAGTGAGAGGAATGTACAAAGGTTCATCGTGATAAAGGAGCCTTGTTTCTCCCAGTTGCCTCAATCTACCTTCTGAAACCTTTTTCTCTGAAATTAAAAAAGAAAAAAAAATTTGAAAGGTACATTCCAATGCAACTTATTTCAAATATTTGTGTTAGCAACGTCACATGAGGAATACCAGTTCCTTGTCTAGAATATATAAGCAAACAACTTTACTTTGGCCCCAAGTGGGTTCAAAATTGGCTCTATATGGGTCCAATAAGAAAATGCAACGAGGGACCAATATTGGGATGTCTAGATTTTTACCCAGTGGCATAATGGGTCTTGTTTTGGGTTTGATGGCGTGCGCAACTTATTTGGACGTCATCACACTTTTCAACAGTGTTCAAGAGTAATAGTAAACAGTGCGCATGCGTTTCTATGGCGACCGCTGCTGTTTTTCTTTTCATTTCCACCACCAAGCATTTTTAATGCACTTACAGAATAATAATTTAAAGTATTTCTATATTATTTTTATTATTAACGTATAATTACCGACTTGACTATGATTTTAATATAAATATGAATGCTGAAGAAGGAAAAGTATTTTTTGAAACACGTACATAGGGAGGATATGAAAACCAATCCGACGACAAACATCAATTGGAGACAGTTTTTGCAACCCATGATTTGAAATGTTTAACGGAGTCAATTCAAAAAGAAAAAGCATTTGACCAATGGGTAACCAGTGATCATAATAAGGTGATCACAACTTTTTCCTTTAATTTTTATTTTTTGAAATATTGGTAATAGAATGGCCTACATAGACCAATATAGAACCAACATTGGCTAAATGACGGATGTAAAATATCGGGTGAATCTGTCAATTTTATGTAGGACCGATATGGGTTGTAAAGTGGCTGAAAAATATCGGAAGATTAGGAAAATTCTATATAGGGCCAATATTGGAAAAATAACGGCCCTTTGAGGAGCCAAGATTTATGAATATTGGTCCAATGAGGGTTCAAGTCATTTTTCTGCTAGGACTGTTTTCTCCTGTTCGGTTGTTTGTGCGATAGTTTCACTTTCCATGATACTTTTCGCTTTACCTTAAATTCAAAGCGAAGATTACCTAAGATTTATAGATTACCTAAAATATATTTTAAAATTTGTGAATTGTTTACTTCAGGCACTATGTTAAATGCAGTTTGGAGTCATGGTTTATTAGAAGTTTACGCAACTGACTTTTCTCAAAACATTTTATTTTAAAATACCAATGGAAATGACACAGAGCCGTGGTTGCTCAGAGGATAAAGCGTTTGTCTTCCAATAAGGTGAAACGGATTCGAATCTGAGCGATGGCTGGTCAATATGAATTCCGCATCCGGCTTGCACCGACCACAGTGCTGACGTAAAATATCCTCAGTGGCAGACGGATCATGGGTTAGAGTCCCCTTGCCTTCAGGCCACCCGTGGTGCCGTAAAGCTAACTGAGAAACCAGGTTTATTTCAACGTTTTACTGGAAATGTGAGTAAATTGCAGAGGTTTTCCTGGTAATATCGTTAAATGTATAAAATGTAAACATGATTTTAAAATAAATAAAAAAAAATGAATACAACCAAGGTGATGCACTACTCACTTGAATTTCTGGAATCGGCAGAAGACGAGGATGAATTTTCAGCGCATTCAAAGAATTCTTCGTCATCACTTTCACTCATGTGGGAAGGCGCTGCTTCTCCAGTGGATGACAGTGACCTAGAGTCTTCGCGCAGGGAATCCACACTACTCCTCAGCTGCTGCCACTCCCTGCTCTTCTTCCTCTGAATGCAACAGTTCAGCATCTGCAAAATCCACACACATTACATTGCTATTGCTAAAACTCGCAATCAAAATCAATAATCTTAATGCATAGTACAAGATAGGTAGGTACTTTAGTCACGTCGCACTAAAGATGCACAATGGGCTACTGGGAACGATCTGCGAAACATCCCTGAGGATGATTCGAAGACTTGCCATCGCAAATTCGATCCTCTTCAGAGGGGGTGGCTCCCCTGCTTTGATAGCCCGATGACCTGCACACGACATTAAAGGTAGAACGGTTTAACAAGGACCGATACCACGCACTCTCGGTCCCTACGCAGTTTGATCAAAGTGATCACTCACCTGCTTACTGACCACAGCCAGTGATGCTTGACTTCGCCATCAGAATCAATAATCCTTATGCATAGTACAAGATAGGTAGGTACTTTAGTTACGTCGCTCGTTACTTCGCACACTTGGACTATTGGCGACTGTCTGGGAAACATGCCCGATGATGATCCGAAGACACGCCATCACAATTTTGATGCTCTGCAGAGGGGATGGCTCCCCTGCCTTTGTAGCTCAACGATCTGAGCGCGAATCGAGCACTTTACGGTAAAACACTTTAACAAGGACAGATACCGCGCACCCTTGGTGCTATGTAGGTAGATCAAAGAGGTCACTCACCCGTTTACAGACCGCAGCCAGTGATGCTTGACTTCGGTGTTCTATTGGGAACCGTGTCTATACGATCAGCCCACTGCGGGACCATCAAGTATATGTAGAAGAAGAGAGTATAGTTCGTACAGATCAGACAACGCTGGGGTTCGAACCTGGTTAATCTCACTCACAGGGAGACAAGCGCCGTGTGCCATGAACCAGCTCGTCTCTAAAATTGGGGTCATTGATGATGTTAAATAATCCAAGAAACTTCAAGATTATCTGTTCAAAATATTCTATCATCTTCATAATTTTTTTAATTTACTCCCGTCTGTGATATATCTGCCATTAGTTCACGAGCAAGCCACTAAAACGATGAAAAAGTGTAAAAGTCAGAATAAAAATTAGCGCCATAGAGTTGTTAAAATAAACTCAAAAATATTGTAGAGGTTCGATAGGTGGTCTGGTGGTCACCACCGATATCATACTGGCGGCACGGAAGGCAATAGGTTGAAATCTTGACTCCAATCTAATATAAGTGTATTTGAAAGTTGTCATGTCCACAGTAAGCAAACGAAAGTAAACAACTCCAACAGACCGAGGCAAAGAAATGGAGAGTTTGTTCCATCATTATGGCAATTGTGATTTTGTGCAATCGAGAACAGTTTCTTAGCTTCGAAAACAAATTTCTGTAATCGATCATCCTCGGCCCAATTAAGGAGTTCTTTAAATTTGTTGAATTTAAATAAAGACTTGTGAATTTGTTTTCGGCAGTTAATATTTGGCTTTTGTATGGGAAGTTCAAGCTGTAACGAACTTTTTCGCATTGTTTCTTGACCAACATATGTGAAGCAACAATAGCAAAACCATTTTTTTTAAATAAATAAATAAAATAATTAACTGTCTAATGTAACAGGTTGTTTTCCCAGGTTCATTGTCGTAAGAAAGCAATTGGATTTTTGAGAGGAAAATTTAAATTGGAATGTCTGTAAAAAATGCAAAATTAAAATAAACGAATTCTCAAGACGTACCACAGAAAATATGATTTCAAACAATGTAGAAGGCCCCGAATAATAGAAAATTATGTTTGTTTAGAAACAAAAAAGATTACAAAAAAATTAAAAATGGGAGGGAATTATTTGGCATGAAAAACTATTATTACTATTTTTTAATCTTTTAACGACATAGAAAAATTAAGTATACAAAAAATCTCGATAACTTTATTTATTTGTGAATTCGTATTTTAGCTTACATTTAACTATCAATTTTCATGTAACAAACTTGCTAACAACTAATACCCATGATACAGTAAACCATCCATTTAATAAGGAAATAATTACATAGGAAAGAATTTTTTTTAATAAAGCTATATTTTCAGTCCGGTTCAATTTGCTGATTAATACCGGCTGCTAAGATAACTTAAATGAACTTACATTAATTATCAGTTTTCATGCTACAAACTTGTGAATAATTAATACCCATGATACAGTAAACCATCCATTATAAAGGGAAATAATTACAAAAGAAAGAATTCTTGCAAATAAAGTTTTATTTCCTGTCCAGGTCTTTGCTGATTAACCCCACGCGCTAAGATAACTTCAATGAATAATTATTTAGCTTACATTAATTATCAATTTTCACGTATATAACAAACTTGTTAACAACTAATACCCATGATACAGTAAACCATCCATTTAATAAGGAAATAATTACATAGGAAAGAATTTTTTTTAATAAAGCTATATTTTCAGTCCGGTTCAATTTGCTGATTAATACCGGCTGCTAAGATAACTTAAATGAACTTACATTAATTATCAGTTTTCATGCTACAAACTTGTGAATAATTAATACCCATGATACAGTAAACCATCCATTATAAAGGGAAATAATTACAAAAGAAAGAATTCTTGCAAATAAAGTTTTATTTCCTGTCCAGGTCTTTGCTGATTAACCCCACGCGCTAAGATAACTTCAATGAATAATTATTTAGCTTACATTAATTATCAATTTTCACGTATATAACAAACTTGTTAACAACTAATACCCATGATACAGTAAACCATCCATTTAATAAGGAAATAATTACATAGGAAAGAATTTTTTTTAATAAAGCTATATTTTCAGTCCGGTTCAATTTGCTGATTAATACCGGCTGCTAAGATAACTTAAATGAACTTACATTAATTATCAGTTTTCATGCCACAAACTTGTTAATAATTAATACCCATGATACAGTAAACCATCCATTATGTAAGGAAATAATTATAGACGAAAGAATTCCTTTTAATAATAAAGTTTCATTTTCAGTTCAGGTCTTTGCTGATTAACCCCACGCGATAAGATAACTTTAATGAATAATTATTTAGCCTACATTAATTATCAATTTTCATGTATATGGCAAAATTGTTAACAACTAATACACATGATACAGTAAACCCTCCATTTAATAAGGAAATAATTATATACGAAAGAATTCCTCTTAATAATAAAGCTTCATTTTCAGTCCAGTTCCTTGCTGATTAATCCTGGGTAGAAAGTTAACTTCAATGAACTTACATTTAACTATCAATATTCATATAACAAACTTGTTACTAATTAATACCCATGATACAGTAAACCATCCATTATAGAAATAATTATATATGAAAGAATTCTATTTAACAAAGTTTTCTTTTCAGCCCGTTTCAATTTACTGATTAATCCTGCACGTTGAGATAACTTCAATGAATAATTCATTCATTAATTCCGAAAAGAATGAGCTATCCTAAGATGTCAGTCAGCTGACCCACATTTATTCTGTCTCAGCTTTCAATCTTTTAAAAGAAAGCCAGATTAAGAACTGTCGAAAACACGTCAATTAACAATAACTTAAGAGAGTGTGTTTCCGGTCAGGTAGCTCAACCTTTTAGCTCAAGTTTGTTTTCTCCTATCGCAAACCATAAATCATTTAACACAGAATCGACTCACCTGAAGTTTCTGATGAAGAAGGCAGTAATTCATGTTGGGTGTCCCTGGATCAAGGCTGAAAAGAAGAAAAAAAAAAAGAATATCAAATTATTTGGGCTGATAAAATAGATCGTAAATAGTTGTTCAAATATAAATAGTGATTAGCAAAACAACATACATAATTCTAGTTTAAGTTTGTTTTTCGAAGGATCTGTAATTACATGAAATGATGACATGAAATGCTTTTTTTGCGAATAATATGCTATTTTCAAAACTGATGTAAGTTTGCAATAGATACTCATGAGCTGAGATTTCTCAGGGGAGAGAGGGCTCGTGTCCCTATGAGGTGCCCCGTCTTCGAATTCCAGCAATGGCTGGGCGAAACGAATTTCGCACCCGGCTCGCACCAACTACAGTGCTGACGTTAAATATCCTCATGGTAGACAGATAATGGGTTCGAATTCCTTTGCTGTCTGGCTAATCGTGGGAGTTTTTCGTGGTTCTCCTCTCTATATAAGGTAAATATGGATTAGTTCCATCAAAAATTCCTCCACGAAGGCAAAATTTTTTCCAATACGTGATTTTGGAATTCCCTTATCTTCTGGATTGGGTTCAAAATTACAGGGCTACGGAGTTGAACATTAATAGTGGTAACTCAAAAATTGGGTCAGCTGTTCAAAGACGGTTATAATAATTACAATATATATTTAATCTCATTTAGTGCGGCATTTGTTGATGAACTTAATTGTTGTTGTTCATTTACGTCGCACTAGAGCTGCACAATGGGCTATTGGCGACGGTCTGGGAAACATCCCTGAGGATGATTCGAAGACGTACCTTTACAATTTTGATCCTCTGCAGAGGGGATGACACCCCCGCTTCGGTAGCCCGACGACCTGCACGCGAAGTCGAGCAATTTACGGTAGAACAGTTTAACGAGGACCCATACCGCACACCCTCGGTCCCGACGCAGGCTGATCCAAGTGGTCACCCACCCGCACACTGACCGTAGTCAGTGATGCTTGACTTCGGTGATCTGCTGGGAACCGTGTCTTAACGATCAGTCCACTCAACACTTCCTAGAAAAGAGTAGGCCTCTGCACGGGTTACCATAAATATCCTTTAGTAGTCCAAACGCAATGACATACACCGTATTTTCAACCACTGCGCAGCTTTGTACCCCGAACGTAATGACATCTTTCTTATTTTTCATCAACTGCGCAGTTAACTTCGTCACATCGGACTACTAAATTGATCCGTGCTGAGGCCTTCATACTTCTAGGAGGTGTTGGTCCACTACGGGACTGATGAACTTAATAAGCTCTGTCATTTATATATGGGTTAAAACTTGTCTTTAATAACTCACACTGAAAACTAGTACATTCGGTTATATAGAATTTATCGTTAAAGCAACTGCTTATAATAATGTGTTAATTTATTATTTGGAAATTCTATCGCTTAATATATGCTGACTTTAAAAGTATATAACTGAGTTTTTTTTTTCTTTTTTTTTAAATTAATTTTGGTTTAAATAAGTCAAAGCGGTTACTGCAATTTTTATTAACTTTTATTGGTTTTCAAAAATTACAAGTAGGGTATTATAAACACAACACATTATGTTACGCACCCAAGAACTGCATCTACTCCCGATACTGGGAGGCCAGAGAACTTTTGCTCAATTTAATTTCTCGATTTAATTTTTATGTTAGATGTTTTGCTTTTGTTTTTGTATAATTCATATCTTTCTGTATTTGTATTTTTCTTTTCTTTTGATCTCTGTACGGTGTTAGGATAATGTCTATATCGCCTGTTGCATTGGAAATAAAATAAAAAAATGTTACGCACCTATCAGCTAGTTCCCAATTACTTAAACAATAACTTCTAAAAGTCTCTAAAAACAGGATTAAGTGTAAATGACACCGAGACTTAATTTCACAACAATTTTTTTTTATATTTTATAATCGTCGTTGAACAGCCGACCCATTTTTTGGGTTTACAACGACTAATGATCACCTCCATAGCCTTGCAAGTTGGACCCATTCCAGAAGACAAGGGAACTCCTGGATCAAGTATTGGGAGAAATCTGCCTTCGTTGAGCACTTTTTGATGGAACTAACCTGCATTTTCGTTATATAAAGAGGAAAACCTCCTATGTTTAGTCTGACGGCAAGGGCACTCTAACCCATGATCCGTCTACCACTGAGAATACTTTACATCAGCACTGTGGTCGGTGCAAGCCTGATGCGGAATTCGTATCGACCAGCCATCACTGGGATTCGTACCCGGTTCACCTCATTCACAACATTTTTTAAAAACTGTTGGATTTTTTTTTTCCTTTACTGTGTTATAAGCTTTTGAAGTCTACGAATACGACATTCGTAAATGGTGGAATTGCTTCCCCATTACCAATTTATTTTCAAAATTTGCAATTTAATTTGGGTTCATTTATCACATACCTCCCAAGGAAAAAGTAAGCCTCCTCCGCAGCATGGCCTTCTATAAATCATCATTAGTTCATGGAAAATATATCACCAAAAATCGTACTTGTTTCTGAATCTGCCAAAGATGGCCGCTGGTATTAGCCATGCTTTTAATTCTTCTGAAATGCTCTTTTCAGTGAATTAAAGTAATTTAAAATGTACATTTCGCGTGTCACTGCAATAGTATAACCCGTCACTTTAGTTTCTTAAAGCCGAGCCGTAGCTTGCCAAACAAAATCGTGAATTGCAGTTTCGTTTGAGTTTGTTATATTTAAATTTTGTTTTGTGAATTTTATTTTTAGATCGCCTCATTTTTATTTCAAAATATCAATTTTAGAGAGTTGTCCCGCTTTATATATTATCATAATCTTCGTTATCATCGAACTATAAAAGCTTACTTTTTCGTAGTTTTTTTCTTTCTTTTAATATAGTTTAATAATAATGTCAAATGCCTTTAAGTATATAATTTTATTTGCATTACATATAATTCTTTAAAAAAAAAAATTCAAAAAGAAATTCCGTTTTGTACAATTTTTGTTTTCCCTTAATAAAATATTGCTGTATTGTAAAGAGTAAAATATTTATTATGTTGTTAAAATATGAAATAACTTTACATAGTTAAATCATTTCGTTTTCCGTTAATAAAATATACCTTTATTTTAAAAATTAACTGCATCTTCTATATGATCCTTTGTTTAGTCGAAAAAATACTAGGTAACCTCAAATAATAATTAAGCTATTCAATTTTCATTTTAACTTACTCAGATCTCACAGCTAGGATAATAAATCATTGTATTGAGCTAAATTTAACACATCGAATAAATAATAAACAATAGCAAAATTAACTCGCAAAAAAAACAAGGAAAAGAATAAATAATTATTTAAATGCTATTATCGCAATGAAAACGAGAGCTACATTCATATTCTTCCAAATTTTACCCTTAATTAGCGATACCACACAATAGAAATGAAACTTCTTCCAAAAAAACGCAGGATTTGCAGACGATTAATATAGTTTTATGCAAATTAAGAAGGCAAAGAACTTTCCCCATTCATAACTAATAAGCCACACTCATTTTTCCTGCAGCAGGTGAAGAAAGTATAGAGGGCGTTACGAAATCGGGATTGAGTGATTGCCAATTAAGCGGACGGCAATAACTAGTTATTCTGTTTATTATTATTTTCAATTCGCGGAGCATTATTTCCCGAAGAGAGAAAGCGGGCCAAACGATCAACAAAGAAAGGACTCTCACGTGAAGAAGTGGGCCAAACAGCGCGGAGACGGGTTCTCTCTTTTTCTCTCCGAAACACTTCACACGCCAACATCTGAGGAGAGTGGACGGCCTTAACTGGATTTATGTGTTTCAGGCAAGCATGGGTTGATCATAACCGCGAAGGTGAGATGTTTCGAACGTTTTTTAATTTTCGTTAAAAAATGCTTTTTTTTTAAAATTAAAAATATCCGATAGAAAATAGTAAAAACAAAACTTTTAAAATCAAATTTTAACTAAATGAATTTCGATAAATTCAAATCAAATAAATGAATTTAAACAAATTTGAAATTCAATTTAAAGAATTTCAACTCAAAATTCGTTCTATTATTTATTCGTTCTCTTATTCTATTATTCGTTCTACTATTTATTGGAATAAAGAATTTAAAATTATTCAGTTTTAAAGTAATTAAAATTTAATTCAGTTTAACGACTAATCGGAACTTTTGTTTCATTTATTTAATTGATTGAAGTTTATCAATTTTAATTTTAAATGCATTAAAATTTAATTTAGTTTAATAAATTGTTTAAAAAATTAATTCAACTTAATTTATTGAATTGCAACTAATTCATTGAATATCACTCAAAGTAGAATTTAAATCAATTAAATAAAACTAATTAAATTGATGTAATTTCACAATAGTGGCACATTTTTTTAATTCCATTTAATCAATTTTAGTTTTAATTTCTATATTTCTTAATTTGAATATTTCTTGTCAATGTGGAAAAAAAATTTCTTTTTTAGAAACGTTAAAAAAAAAATTATAAAAAATTATACTAAAAATAGAATTTTATTATTGAAAATTCAATTTTAGGAAGCTTTATTGAAATGAAATTTCGTACAGATTTGAAATTCAATTACATTATTAATTTTATTAAAATAAGGAGAAATTCGTTTTCAACTTACTTTAAAACGTTAGCAAATTTTTTAAATACATTTTGTAACATTTTATAATCATTTTTATATTTTATACAAATGAAAAACTACTGTCTTCGAACCGTAAGTAAAGCAATCAAACTACAGCTCGTTGTCGGCCAGGGGGGTCAGAGGGAGGTTAAGGTTTCACAATTTCGTGACCAACGGAATGATTCAGTCAACGTGATCACGATTGCGGACAGACCGGTCTTCAAATAATACGAACCATACAAATGTTTTGATATATCTTACTTATTTGAAAAAAATTTTTTGAAACTGACAAAAAAAAAACGACTTCTGAGAATTTGTTTCGCCTTATTTTGTATCTGTGTCGTACTATCTATTTTAGAATTTTGCATTTGAAGAAAAGAAATTTTATTACAGTATAAATTACTCAGTTTCGTTAGCAAGTAATTAATAAATTTTATTGTTTAACATAAACATTTGCTTACTTAATTTCAATAATGGAAAATTTTCTTCGACAAAACAATACTCTACCTTAACATTGTCCCAATAGATTGCTATGTTGAATTAAGTTAATTTCAAAAACAGAAAAGAGTATCCCATTCGGATCATGTAAAAAGAGTCTACTTAAATACCGCGTAATTAATTTTATTATGCATTTTTTATTTTATACTTAAGAACATTAATTAAAATAATGTTAAATTAAGGTAATGCTGAAATAAGGTAATTATAAAAACAGAAAAAGAGAATCCCATTCAGAATATATAAAAGGAGTCAGTAATTAATTTTATGATGTAATTTTTATTCTATACTAATAACATTAATTAAAATAATGTTAAAATAGGGTAATGCTGAAATAAAATAATTCTAAAAACAGAAAAAGAGAATCCCATTCGTATTATATAAAAGGAGTCCGTAATTAATTTTATGATGTAATTTTTATTTTATACTTAAGAACGTTAATTAAAATAATGTTAAAATAAGGTAATGCTGAAATAAAGTAATTATAAAAACAGAAAAAGAGAATCCCATTCAGAATATATAAAAGGAGTCAGTAATTAATTTTATTATGTAATTTTTATTCTATACTAATAACATTAATTAAAATAATGTTAAAATAGGGTAATGCTGAAATAAAATAATTCTAAAAACAGAAAAAGAGAATCCCATTCGGATTATATAAAAGGAGTCCGTAATTAATTTTATGATGTAATTTTTATTTTATACTTAAGAACGTTAATTAAAATAATGTTAAAATAAGGTAATGCTGAAATAAAGTAATTATAAAAACAGAAAAAGAGAATCCCATTCAGAATATATAAAAGGAGTCAGTAATTAATTTTATTATGTAATTTTTATTCTATACTAATAACATTAATTAAAATAATGTTAAAATAGGGTAATGCTGAAATAAAATAATTCTAAAAACAGAAAAAGAGAATCCCATTCGGATTATATAAAAGGAGTCCGTAATTAATTTTATGATGTAATTTTTATTTTATACTTAAGAACGTTAATTAAAATAATGTTAAAATAAGGTAATGCTGAAATAAAGTAATTATAAAAACAGAAAAAGAGAATCCCATTCAGAATATATAAAAGGAGTCAGTAATTAATTTTATTATGTAATTTTTATTCTATACTAATAACATTAATTAAAATAATGTTAAAATAGGGTAATGCTGAAATAAAATAATTCTAAAAACAGAAAAAGAGAATCCCATTCGGATTATATAAAAGGAGTCCGTAATTAATTTTATGATGTAATTTTTATTTTATACTTAAGAACGTTAATTAAAATAATGTTAAAATAAGGTAATGCTGAAATAAAGTAATTATAAAAACAGAAAAAGAGAATCCCATTCAGAATATATAAAAGGAGTCAGTAATTAATTTTATTATGTAATTTTTATTCTATACTAATAACATTAATTAAAATAATGTTAAAATAGGGTAATGCTGAAATAAAATAATTCTAAAAACAGAAAAAGAGAATCCCATTCGGATTATATAAAAGGAGTCCGTAATTAATTTTATGATGTAATTTTTATTTTATACTTAAGAACGTTAATTAAAATAATGTTAAAATAAGGTAATGCTGAAATAAAGTAATTATAAAAACAGAAAAAGAGAATCCCATTCAGAATATATAAAAGGAGTCAGTAATTAATTTTATTATGTAATTTTTATTCTATACTAATAACATTAATTAAAATAATGTTAAAATAGGGTAATGCTGAAATAAAATAATTCTAAAAACAGAAAAAGAGAATCCCATTCGGATTATATAAAAGGAGTCCGTAATTAATTTTATGATGTAATTTTTATTTTATACTTAAGAACGTTAATTAAAATAATGTTAAAATAAGGTAATGCTGAAATAAAGTAATTATAAAAACAGAAAAAGAGAATCCCATTCAGAATATATAAAAGGAGTCAGTAATTAATTTTATTATGTAATTTTTATTCTATACTAATAACATTAATTAAAATAATGTTAAAATAGGGTAATGCTGAAATAAAATAATTCTAAAAACAGAAAAAGAGAATCCCATTCGGATTATATAAAAGGAGTCCGTAATTAATTTTATGATGTAATTTTTATTTTATACTTAAGAACGTTAATTAAAATAATGTTAAAATAAGGTAATGCTGAAATAAAGTAATTATAAAAACAGAAAAAGAGAATCCCATTCAGAATATATAAAAGGAGTCAGTAATTAATTTTATTATGTAATTTTTATTCTATACTAATAACATTAATTAAAATAATGTTAAAATAGGGTAATGCTGAAATAAAATAATTCTAAAAACAGAAAAAGAGAATCCCATTCGGATTATATAAAAGGAGTCCGTAATTAATTTTATGATGTAATTTTTATTTTATACTTAAGAACGTTAATTAAAATAATGTTAAAATAAGGTAATGCTGAAATAAAGTAATTATAAAAACAGAAAAAGAGAATCCCATTCAGAATATATAAAAGGAGTCAGTAATTAATTTTATTATGTAATTTTTATTCTATACTAATAACATTAATTAAAATAATGTTAAAATAGGGTAATGCTGAAATAAAATAATTCTAAAAACAGAAAAAGAGAATCCCATTCGGATTATATAAAAGGAGTCCGTAATTAATTTTATGATGTAATTTTTATTTTATACTTAAGAACGTTAATTAAAATAATGTTAAAATAAGGTAATGCTGAAATAAAGTAATTATAAAAACAGAAAAAGAGAATCCCATTCAGAATATATAAAAGGAGTCAGTAATTAATTTTATTATGTAATTTTTATTCTATACTAATAACATTAATTAAAATAATGTTAAAATAGGGTAATGCTGAAATAAAATAATTCTAAAAACAGAAAAAGAGAATCCCATTCGGATTATATAAAAGGAGTCCGTAATTAATTTTATGATGTAATTTTTATTTTATACTTAAGAACGTTAATTAAAATAATGTTAAAATAAGGTAATGCTGAAATAAAGTAATTATAAAAACAGAAAAAGAGAATCCCATTCAGAATATATAAAAGGAGTCAGTAATTAATTTTATTATGTAATTTTTATTCTATACTAATAACATTAATTAAAATAATGTTAAAATAGGGTAATGCTGAAATAAAATAATTCTAAAAACAGAAAAAGAGAATCCCATTCGGATTATATAAAAGGAGTCCGTAATTAATTTTATGATGTAATTTTTATTTTATACTTAAGAACGTTAATTAAAATAATGTTAAAATAAGGTAATGCNTATATATAAAACCCTCAAAAAAAATTTGTCGCTTGTTCAACGACAGTTATAAAATAAGACTGACACCACTGCAAAAATTAATAAATTATTTAAATAACGCCCAAGTTTTAAAAAAATTATGACTCCTTATAGATTCTCAAAATTATACCGGATGTATTAAATTTTTTAATGTTTATTGCAACAAATGATATATTTTATCGGGTTATCTATCTCTAATCAAATATTTTATGAGTTCCTTATTCCCGATTTCGATATAAGGATATTTGCACAAACGAGGATGTTGAGTTCTTTCTTGTATAATATGTCCGAGGCTTTTAAAACATACATTTACGAAAAAAAATAATGGCTATTGACATACTTCAAACATCCACCTTACAAATTATAAATAAGCACTACCCAAAGGCTATCAAAACAAATTTGAAGTATCCTTTCTGAAAAGTATCCGTAATGTCACAATGATTAAACCATAATCTATATTTAAAAC